CGCGTTACATTACCGTGCGGAGGGGGAGGGGGGGGAGCGCTGACTCACCCGCCGCGTCACTGCTGGTGGGGGGGTTCTCCGTTGCGCAACATGTCACACTGCTCCCTCCTTAAGGCTGTTCGTCCCGAATAGCCTAACGGTGCATCCCTGTTAATTTTTTTTGGAGGCTGTTCTTGCAGCATTGTCCCGAATAGCCTAACGGTCCATCCCTGTTAATTTTCTTTGGAGGCTGTTCTTGCAGCATCTGTTCTCCGGCCGTTACAACCGCTCCCTTCTTAAGACCAACTCGTCTTGAGCGGTTTCCTTTCAGCTCGCCAGAAGATCCAGTTGTATCCCATTCATCCATCGCTTTCTCCCATGGCACATTCACTCTCTCTGGGGAGGCCGGTTCTTCTACATTACCTGTTCCTCCTCTGCTTGAAGTCGATTTTTCTGTTTTGGAGGGGGTCATCCCCTCCATAAGGTTCAGTCCATGTTTATGTCTTCCATGAGAAGTTCCTTATGTCGACGTAACAGCTCTTGATGCGTTGTTTGCACTTGCTGACATCGTCGTTCCTCCTGGTCTTCCAGCCACTTGCTGGCACGGGACTGTGGCGCTAAATCCTTTCTCCAGTATCCGAAGTTTCCCTGGGGAGTTTCCTTCTTGAAGTCATATCTCCGTCGTCGTGCCACTGTCGCGTGACGGGATGTCTTCCTGCAGATGGCAGCCAACTTCATCCGGGATTCATTTTCTCCTCGGGTCCAAGAGTTCCTGAAGATGTTTCTCCTGCGCCATGACACTCTTGCATGGTGGGACACCTTCCTGCTGACAACGGCCAATTTATTCTGGGGTCCGCAATTTTCCCATGTCAAATTCTTCATAATTCGTCGCTTTCGGTCCCTACGCCTTTTCTTCTTCGGTTCTCGGATCGGCATTACTTCGGCGTCTTCTACGGGTACCTCTCGTAATTCTGCCACCTCAGGTTTCCTGTTTGCTGAGGTCGGCTCTTCTTCTTCTGGATGTGCCTCCATTTCTTGGCAGGCCATCATCTCTCTGACCGGTATTATTTCGGGGACCTCTACTTCTTGTGCCGTGCTTGCTTGGGTTCCTCTTGTCTCTGTGGCAGTCTTTTCTCACCAGGCGGCCATTTCTTCTTGCCATGCTTTCGAGTCAGCGTCCATTCTGGCCAGGAGTTCCTTGTGGCTGATCTCCGCCCTTTCTTGACAGGAGTCTAATTTGGCCAGGAAATCTTCTCTGTCTTTTTTTCTATTTGCTTCCGCCTTTTCTTGATGGGATCTCATGTTGGCGTCCATTCGTGCCAGCATTTCTTGTTTGTCGGTTTTCATGCTGGCGTCCATTCTAGCCAGCATTTCCATCATCTGCTGCATCTCCATTTTGTAGCAGTAATACTCGATGCACAATAATTCAATTACTTGTCAAGGCGTGTTCAGGTTCATGAAACAATTCTGACACAAAATTGTCACGTGTCTAAGCAATGAAGATGCCGTTCGAATTGTTAATTGGTTTATTCAACAACCTACAAGTAACGGCTACAATTAATTATTGTTGCAGGGTTTCACACTTTATAACCCTAATCGCAATAATCTGTTAACACTGTTGCAGGGTTTCACAGTTTATAACCCTATTCGCAAATCAGTTCACTCTGTCTTCAGTTGTCTACACGTTTACAGTATGGGAGCTATGTATCGCTGTATCACACGCTCCCAATTACACAATCGCACACACGTCCAGTTCTTCTTTCCGCGACGGCTGCTATACTCCAACTGTAGTCGGCTGACTGGAGAACTGTTGATAACACACTCGCTCGTACGCTTGCTCGGAACTAACTCGGAACTGAACTTGGCGATGGCCACATTACAACTGACTCACGCTTACTGCTCAGCCAGCTTATATTCTGTTCGCTGTTACCTGTTGCCCACGTCAACTGTGTCGTTGCGTGTCGCGTCACAGTAGGAATCGGTGCCACGTCACAGTAGGAACCGGTTCCACGTTGTCCTGTTGCGTCACCGCGCGTTGCGCGTTACGTTACCGTGCAGAGGGGGAGGGGGGAAGGGAGCGCTGACTCACCCACCGCGTCACTGCTGGTGGGTGGGGTTCTCCGTTGTGAAACATGTCGCAATATTAATGACTTGCCTTACTTAATAAATAAAATATCAAAACCAATTTTGTATGCCGATGATACCAGCATACTATGTTACAATTCTGATTCTGTGGAACATATAATGATATTGAAAACGATACTGGGAAAAAACAGACACATGGTTTATGAATAATTTATCATTAAATTTTAACAAAACTAACTACGCGCATTTTTCATCAAAAGTAAATACTATATCAAACATAAATTTAAACTATAAGGATGTTCAAATTAAAAATAATTGTAATACAAAATTCCTAGGACTAATCATAGATAATACCTTATTATGGAATGATCAAATAAATCAGTTGGTAACTAAGCTGAATGCAGCTAGTTATTCTATTAGAACCCTATCTGCAGTTATGACTCAGGAGAGTTTAAGGATGATTTATTTTGCATATGTACATTCCATTATGTCATATGGAATAATATTTTGGGGCAATCGACTCATAGTAATTTAATTTTCAAAATCCAAAAACGAATAGTGAGAACTATTATGAAGGCAAGAAATAGGGACTCTTGTCATCCATTGTTCAGGCACTTAAATATTCTGCCCTTATATTCCCAATATATATTTTCGTTTTAAATTTTTGTTGTTAAGAATTTAGATATGTTTAAATTTAATTCTGCTACAAACAGCATTAACACCAGACAAGGTTTTGACTTACATTTTCCAAGTAACAAATTAGCTGAAGTGCAGAAGGGTGTATATTATTCAGGAATTAGGATATTCAATAATCTACCACAAGGCATCAGGAATCTATTAAATGATATTACTAAATATAAACAGGCTCTAAAATAGTTTCTTCTTGCTGGTTAATTTTATTATTTAAGTGAATATTATGAATGGAACACAAGGGGTGATCTTGGTTCTTATAAACAGTATCTAAAATTAACCTTAACAGTCCTATTAACTAACCAAAAATATATAAATAATCATATATTTTAGATCTGCATATATACCAACTATGACTTTTATTTATTTTAACATACAATCTCTTGTTGTTCTATGAATTTATTTATTTATGAATGTATTTATTGCCATAATAATTTTTAGTACACTTCTGAGAGAAGTTATTTATTCCATTTATTGTTCATGCACGTTAGATATTTTTAGTTTTTCTTTTGATGTGTGAATGATGTAACATACATTATTTGATATTGTATTGTTTATTGATAATATTCATTCATATGCATTGTTTTTATAAACTGGATGAATTTTATAAGATAAATAGTTCATATATTTTCATCTAGTATTTAAGTCTTGTTGTAGTCACATTTTATTATGTTTAGTGACTGTACTGTCTGTGTTTTATATTATGTTATTTTGACTTATTCCAGTGATTGGGTGGAACATTTGTTTTGATTTTTGACATTTTCTATATCCAGTGGTGCGTCAACTTGTTTCTCGCCCTGTAATTGGATCCACTTGAATATAAGAATAAAGTAAATTAAAATAAATTAAATTAAATTCTTCAGTTTACCACAGTAACCCATTAGTGTGTATCATGGGTGCTGTTTAAAAGCAGACAATACAACTGTCACCCAGCATCCCACTGATAGCACACATGAATTACTTTTGATGTAGTTGCCATTAAAAAAATAGTCAGAACACAATCCTACCATGACAAGATAATAATATGCACCTTCACACAGGATATAAACAGTCATTCAATAGTACATATATATGAGTGGAAACAGTACATTCTCTGAAGCAGAAAAGTGCACTGGAATTATGTAAACTATTATACTGACTATAAAAAGAGTATGATATTAAATTAACTTTCAATATAACTGGATCATTAATAATTAAGTATCTGCATTATACTGGGTCAACCACAGGTAAACAAAAGCACAAATTATTTTGTAAATGAACAGCTTCAATTGATCACACAAAACTCATGCACCATTTGAAGGTGGGTTGGTGGCTCAGCACATTGATGTTTCCATTGTTTCAATTTAAGTCAGAATTACTGGATTTTTGGACTTTGCCCATTGTCCAGTATTCTAAAAATTAGAAAACACAACGTTTCTGAAACTGGATTTATTTCTGTTCCAAGATGGGGGGGAGATACCTACGTTGTTGAGTCCCTCAGAAAGAGCTAACCTCAGTCACTGGACTGGTTAGCTCTTTATAAGGGACCCAATAGAGTAGGTGTCTCCCGTGTTCTAAAGTCTAGAAAACACAACGTTTCTGAAAATGGATATGTTTCCATCCTCAGGTGAGAAATGAGGAGGTGTTTCCCCTATTCTAAAAGCTAGAAAACACAAGGTTTTGGAAACTGGATCTGTTTCTATCCTCAGGTGAGAGAGGAGACACATACTCTATTAGGTCCCTTAGAAATAGCTAACCAGTCCAGTGACTGAGGTTAACTCTTTCTAAAGGGCCCCACAGAGTAGGCGTTGGACCCCTCATTTCAGGACAGAAACAGATCCAGTTTCAGAAATATTGTGTTTTTTAGTTTTTATAATACCAGACAATGGACAAAGTCTGAAACCCCAGTAATTCTGAGTGTTAACCACAAACAACAGAACCCTTTAGAATCCACTTCAATTTAAGTATTTATTGCAACATCAGAATCTCCAGTGAAAGCAGCATCAGAATTTTACAAACTTGAATATTAAAGACAATAATTAATTACCTAATTTCTAAACATAGAAAACTTTGTGATTTGATAATTTCAAAATAAATACATTGCATATTTCAAGAAATGTAAATTTCAATCCGTGTTACTAACCTACAATTGTCACTTTGTCTTTTAATAATATTTTATATTATTTTTTATTTACAATTATGCTATTGCAAGAATGGATAATTTGCATATAAGGCCCCCATTCCATGTCAACATTTAATTTACTTACCACCAGGTTCAAATGTCAAGTAGCGAGCAGCAGACAGTTTATGCTGGTGATGTTTCATTACATAAAACTGCTTAACTTTCTCATATGCTGGCTGAAAATTACTGCAGGCTCTTTTTCCCAGCTCCTGCAATTAAAATATTCCAATATGGGGTATGTAATCGTTTGATATTATGCAGTGGCATAAAAATGTGTGACCACCTTATGAAAAATCTAACAAGCATCACAGTTTTAATGACATCCTCAGGCAAGAATTATGTATAATTTAGAACTGTGTTACCTCAGATTGAAGTGTGCTCTTATTCTGCAAGCATATGCAAAACATGTTGAAATTTGAGCAAGTATTAATTTTGTTTATGTATAGCTAAGGAAGGGCTGTATGCAAATAAGGGGATAGAGATGTCATAAACTGAAATATTACTTACATCTGTCACACAGAAGGATGGTCAGTAACATCTATGAACTGAGTTTTCACAGAATATGGACACTCTGGTTCTTACAGCAATAACTGAAGACCACAAAATACAACAAATGGGTTGTTCCCTCTTCTTTTACCAGTGATATATGGCTGACAGTTATGTGTTTCTTGAACATATTGTTACAGGGGATGAAACATGTGTTCACCAGAGACAGATCAAGTAAGTATGTACAGAAAATACACTTCTCCCCTCAATCTTTCTGTAAAAGTGACAATTATGGTGTTCAAAACCATTACATTCTCAAACTTCTTAGAATGAAGTTTGATGCAGTATTGACATGTCTGCATACAGCCATTACATGAAAATGTAATATATTCAGTAAAGGTGTTCTGCTTATAACAATTTGTGGCTTTACTAAACCAGTGGAACCTCATAACTTTTGCAGCAGTTCAAGTGGGAGATCTTAGAACAGCCTGCTCATTGCCCTGACCTGGTATGAAGCAATTATCACCTACTTCCAAGTGTCTGTGAGGCCACACATTTGAAAATCCTGAGAACAGGAAAACTCTACTGAAATGAAGGTTGGAAGAACAGGAAAATGAGTTCTATGAACAGGAGATAGAAACTCATGTCTTAATCTTCACAGGATCATGTAAGAAAATAGTTCACAAACCATCTGTGATGTCTTATCTACACTGAAGATTCAATAAAAGGTAAAGCTGTCCTTGTGTAAATTAATTAAGCATGAAGCCATGGAGGCATATTTGGGTATTGGGGTATAGCTCCATCATTCTTGACCTAGACACTAGATGGAGATGATTGGTCAGCTTCACATCTTGGCCACTTAACACCCAAGGTAGAGCCTCCATCTAAGGCCCCAGACCTAGTCTGAATGCTACACAGAAGATACAAGTCTCTGTCAGGAATTGAACCTCAGCCATCCAGCCCACTGCCATACTGACTGATCTATCCTGGGTCATGTAGATACAATAGACAATTTTTAAAGCATATGCTATGTACATTTGCTTTCTGATCACACTTTTGTTCAAAAGAACATGACAAGGCACATAATAAACACCATTCTAAGCTTGATTTTAGCATATATTTCACAGAAGCCAGATAGCTCAGTCGGTGTAGTGATTGACTATGGCTTGGAGGATGGAGGAATTGGAGTTTGAGACCCGATGGAGCAAGAATTTTCTCTTCTCCATGTTATCCAGACTGGCTCTGGGGTCAACCCAACCTGTTAAACAATGGGTACTGGAGTCTATTTCCTTGGGGTTAAAGCGGCTGGGGCATGAAGTTGACCACTCACCTCCAACTAGTGCCTAGGTCAAAAAAATGTGGATCTATACATCCACTCCCCATACACCTTCATGGCACAGCGCTTAATTAGTTAAGCATACACACAACCTTACTTTTCACAGAAGTAGCCTAAACTGTTGCAATGGGACTGAAAGTTTAATAGCAAATCAAGGTCTGTAAATTATTTGAATAAGGTAATGCATTCATTGCTTAGATATCATATTCAGTTGTCACATTTGTGTTTGTTTTGATGAAATAAATTAAATTAGTAAACAAAACAGCAGTATAGCTTGACTCATCTAACTCTACTGGTACAAATCATTAAATGGTATATGTCATTGGTACAGGTTACAAGAGTAAAAATTCAAACAGTAAAGGAGCCAGTGTCTTGTTTTAATGTTCTGTTATTAAGAGAAACATACAGAATTATACAGAATCTAGCCACTTACAAAGAGTTGTCTATTTCTTTTCTTGTCTTCAAAATCTATGATTGAACTGAAGCCAATCTTGATGGCTTTCCTTTTGCGAGGGCTGTTGACAGTCTTGACATACACTTTCCTGGTCTTGTGACTGACATTTGTAACAACAGCTGGCCAATATACTTTGTTGCAGCGCACCCACACAATGTCATCCTTCATAAAATTCTTCTCTAAAAAGGACAGCAAAATTTAAAATCACTGCTGACAATTGTTATCAGTAATGGAGTCTTAGGAGCATATAGACATTATCACAACACTTAAAAGCAAGATGAATAATTGACAGAATGCTGAGAATGCAGCATTTTAAGTACAGTCCTTAGAAAGGGAAGAACCTGATTTCAATAGGTGTGTTATGATATACTATACCTGGGAGATTTCATGGCTTTCCATCTGTCCAGGCATATGCTTAGATTATACTTTCAACAGGTCATGATTATTTCACTAAACATCTCTAATTTTTCATTCATAACTGTTATAACAGTCACATTCTTGTATTTAGGGCTATTTATCTTCAGCAATTGATGTAGTACAGAAAAAATAACAAAACAATCAAACAGAAGTAAATGTTTAAAGAAGAGGTGATGAAACTTTTAGGAAATCACAGAGACAAGACATATATATGTATTCTAGAAATGGTTCTGGGAAATATTTCTTCCAAAGAAAAGTTCGTAAAGTTGTCCCTATGTTTAATTAATTAAGCACCATGCCACAAAGACATATGAGGGAATGGAGGCATAGCTCCACCATTCTTGACCTTGCCACAGATGTAGGTGAGTGGTCACCTTCATGCTCAAGCCACATTACCCCCAAGGAAAAAATCTCCAGTACTCATTAAAGAAAAGCATAAGGAAATGAAAATAATAAAAAATGAGGTTTTCGATAAGTTAATCAATTATACATAATAATCATGTTAATATTCCATATAAAAAATGCAATTAAAGTTATAAATGAAACTGAAAATACCGTACACTCTGTAACTGTTAATCATAATTTGGTGGACCCTTTTTGTATCAATTACGTTTATATTAAGATCACGTGAAATACATACAGAGATCCAGCAGCCAACTTGTACACTCAGAAGTGACATAGTTCAAGTTTTCCTATGTGGACAGGAAGTAACATCTGGTACATTTCCTGGAATTCTGACAGTTTCAGCAGAGTCGGAAAGTCTTTGAGAATTTGAGAGCTGACAGCTTGGAACAGCTATAACTTAGAAGTGGGATGGCTGAAGCCTCATCCCCTGATCTTAATGCATCAAGTCACTTTCAAACTTAGCGTCAGGTCAGCAACTGCCAGAATCACATAGCAAAGCAACATGATTGGAAATTCACAAATTTAGAGAATCTTCTAGTTTTCAAACTAAACCAATGGCACATGTTGGAGGAGTGGATTTCTCTTGGAGTCTGGGGTTCGTGGACCTCAGTGTTCAGAGAGAGATGATTCCACCTCAGACAGTCTTCAGTCAACTTTCGGCCAAGTCAGACACAAAAACACAACTACGTCACTTCACTAAACGTATTACAAGTTAAACCCAAATAAGTGTAACTATTAGAGTTTCTGCTGTGTTCAGTGAGCTGAAGTTAATTAAATAATTACTGAAGTGCAAAAAAATTCTTGAAGTTGTGTACATGATTGTAGCATAAGGATCTTCCTGCCCTGCCCGAGCCAGGCTCATAACACCCCGGGATAAGAACTCATCTCTACCCATTACAGAGCAGAACCCAGCTACTCCCGTCTTTCCCTACTTGCGAGACACCTAATGGTCATACAGGAAACGAACTCTCACCTACCAGCATCAACAATCACAATTCTTCTCCCTTCCCACCTAACTTGACAACCACGAGAAGAGGAAGGAGGGCAGTAACTCCAGTGGAGGCGTCCAGACACAAGGTACAGGTGAGCCATAGCACAGGGAAAGGAAGGGATACAAGTAAAAAACTAATAAGTGACGTAAAATCGGGCAAAAGGCAGTAATGAGTGGTGCCAAACCTAGGTATAACAACTCTTCTCTGACTCGCGTGATAGACACATTCTTGAAAAATTCTATGGTAAAATCATGTTAGTTGAACACAAATTTTCCACAAGAAGTAATGCAATGCAACCTAGAACTAATTTGGTGAGATGGAGATTTGCTAGCACATTCCCACAACATCGTGAACAGGTGGAAAAACTACTTCTCTGTTATTTAATGTACACAGGATAAGTGACGTTAGGCAGAGAGAAATGCATCTAGCTGAGCCATTATTACCTGAGCCTAGTACTTCTGAGATTAACGTTGCTACAGTAAAGTTGAAAAAGCATAAATAGCCCGGTACTGATCAAATTCTGGCAGAACTGGATCAAGCAGGGGGTTTAATACAGGGTGTTTCAAAAAGAGCTTTACAACTTTGAAAGCTTATATAAATTTATACCAATGACCTACACAACGTTTTGAACTGTCATAATGTAGCAAAACACACCGAATCTCATGCACATGGTACTGTAGTACCCAATACCGCCACCGCAAGCGCTCCTGCAGTTGAAATCAAGATGGCTACTTTCACAGGTGCAGAGCGTGCTTTTTGTGTGTTTTGGTTCGAAGAAACAAAGTCTGCTACACAAGCTCAAAGGAAATTTTGCACTCAGCATCGCAAGGAACCTCCCAGTAGGCCCACAATTTACTCCTGGCACAAGAATTTTGTTCAGACCAGATCTTCTGTGTGCCATGCCAAGCCACCCGGTCGGCCACGTGTTTCTGACGCTACAGTGGAACAGATTAGGGAGAGCTTTGTTCGAAGTCCACGAAAGTCAACGCGACGTGCGTCTTGGGAAACTGGTATTCCAAATGTTACTGTATGGCGAGTGTTACGGAAAAGTTTACACTCAAAAGCGTACAAACTATCCATCGTTCAACACCTTATGGATGCAAATAAGGTGGTTTGTAAGGAATTCTGTATGCAAATGCTTCATCAGACACAAGACGATGAGAAGTTTCTGGACTCCGTAATTTTCAGTGACATGGACACGTTTCATGTCAGTGGTAAGGTCAATACCCACAACTGTGGGACCTGGGGCAGCGAAAATCCATGTGTCTACCTGGAACATGTTCGTGATAGCCCAAAGGTGAATGTGTTTTGCACTCTCAGCAAAGAAAGAGTGTACGGTCACTTCTTCTTCATGGAGACGACCATTACCGGTATCGTATATCTAGACATGCTCCAAGAGTCCCTCATTCCACAGTTGGATGAAGATGACCAAGAAGGACGCATTCACTTCCAGCAAGATGGCACACCCCCTCATTACCATGAAGTGCGCGAGTACCTCAACACCCATTTCCAAGGTCGGTGGATTGGTAGAGCGGCGCCGATAGCATGGCCACCTCTTTCCCCGGATCTTACTCGCCTGGATTTTTTTTTATGGGGATTTGTTAAAGATCGCGTGTTCATACCACCTTTGCCTGCAAATGTCGTTGAGCTCTGAACTCGAATTACTGCCTCAGTTACAGAAGTGATGCCAAAGATGCTACGTAGTGTGTGGCAAGAGACTGACTACAGGTGGGACGTCTGCCGCATTACCAATGGAAGTTACATTGAACCATAACTATCGGAGGTAAAACTCAGTGTGTTTTGCTACATTATGACAGTTCAAAACTTTGTGTATGTCCTATGTATAAATTTATATAAGCTTTCAAAGTTCTAAAGCTCTTTTTGAAACACCCTGTATAACGTTCTAAGATCATAACTAATTAATTCTATTTGGAATAAGGAAGAATTGCCTGATCAGTCGAAGGAGTCTATTGTTGTACCAGATCACAAGATGGGTGATAAAACTGACTGCAATAATTATTGTGGGATATCACTGCTATCAACTTCATACAAAATTCTATCCAATATTCTTCTCTCAAGGTTAAGTCCAGATATAGATGAAATTATTGGGGATCATCAGTGTAGGTTCCGATCTAACAGATCAACTGCTGATCAGATATAAATATATAAATATTTGTCTGATAATTTTGCTATCCAGAATGGTATAAAACAATTCATGATTTTCATTCCACTTTCCATACAAAAATGTGTATTTGCCTGCTGGTTTGGTGCCACCTCTTCCCCATCTGACCTCCTGTATTCCCGCTAAACCTAACTTATATTCTGATATTTCTTCTGCAACTGTCCTTAGCAAACCTGCCCTATACATGCTTCTGACATTCCAAGTACCAAATCTCATATCTATTTTCTTTTGCTTAGGTCATTTATCCACAGAATCCATCCAGATCCAAGGCTTCTTGAAATATTTTGTAACAAGCTTATTTTTTATGGTGAGGAGCTGTTACCCCCATGCCACACCCCCAAGCTGGAAGAACACCCTTTGTCGGCTGTCTACAATTTTTTATTCAATATATTCACAGCTACCCTCCATATCTGGAGGCTGTCTCCTCCATGTGCAACCTGAAGCACGCCATGCCATGGTGACAAGGGACCCACATTTCAAAATTTAATTCACGAGAAAATTAAGAGCAGGTTGAATTCAGTCCAGATCTTTTCATCTTCTTCTCTGCTGTCTAAAAACGTAAAAATTAGAACATATGACACTATAATTTCACTTGTGGTTCTGCATGGGTATCAAACATTATTGGAGGCACACAAAGGGAGGGTGTTTGAGACTAGGGTGCTGAGGAGAATATTTGGACCAAACACTGATGAGATGGTAGGTTGGAGAAAACTGCATTATGTAGTCCTCACCAAATATAAATAAACTGATGAAGCCAAGGAGGATGGACAGGACATGTACCATGCATAGGGTGCGGAGGAATACACATAGGATTTTGGTGGGAAAGCTAGAAGGAAAGAGGCCACTATGAAGATCTAGATATAGGTAAAGGATAATATTAAGTGGATCTTAGAGAAATAGGATGGGGTGGTATGGATGGGACTGATCTGGCTCAGGACAGAGGCCAGTGGAGGGCTCTTGTGAATGTAGCAACAAACCTTCAGGTTCCAGAAAATGTTGAGTAATTCTTAAGTAACTGAGTGACTGGCAGCTTCTCCAGGACTCAGCTCCATGATTTAGTTTGTTAATAGATAATGCATGGAGAAATTGTATTAAACTGAAAAAGCAATTACATTATTCCAAAATTGGCACCACTTCAAAAACCATGTTAAATCAACTGCATATTAGTAGAACCTGTGTTTGTTGAGGACTGATTGTATTAGAAACGATGTATGGAAGGTACATACTGTTACATGTTACTTGGTGTTAATAAAGGGTATGAGTGAGCAAGTAGTTGGGAAGGTGCCTGGTTCATACCTGTTTGGGCACTGACTATTTTGATTAAGATTTTTGGGGTTCTTCTCAGTCCCGCCAGGCAAATGCTGGAAAAGTACCTCAAACTAGGCCACAACAGCTTCCTTCCATGTCCCTTCCAATCCATTATTCAGTGCCATTGTACCATTTGATGCAACAGTCTGAGCTCTGACAGTGTTGTTAAACAAACCACAAGCAAACAGAGCTTATGATAAACTGCAGTGGAACTGCTTGTAGAGAGTTACCGCCACCTCAATATAAGTCCTATTCCAAGTACTTATAAAGGCATGAATGCACTGAATTTTCAGCCCTCTCAGCTGGTGTAAACTTCTTCCATTACACTTCAACCTAACCAGTTGCTCCAGATTTGGCATTACACTCTTGGATCCTGATTGGGTGAGAGCCAACCACAGGTGTTAAAATAAAAAACAGCTGGGAATATGCTACTAACATTTATATTCTGAAAACAGAATTATTGGGGGAAAAAAAAAGAATGGAAAGAAAGCACCAACATTGAAAGACTGAATATAGCTACTCACTTTTACCATCTTCGACTGATGAAAATGCAGGAGGTAACTCCTCATCTGAATCAGCCATTTCATCATCATGCAAGTTGGGGCAAGGGAAAGATTTTGGGGAAAGAGACCCTTGGTCTTTTGACCTGAAACAATAAGAAGTGCTTTTCAATGTTTGCAGTACCCCACTGCCATTATTCATTTTGTTCTACTTCACATCAATTCATATTTTCAGTTAATGAAAATAGCACCATATCTTGGTAAAAGACCAAGGGCTCAACAGGGTTCATACTTAATTACAGCAGAAGAATATGGACTAGACTTCAGACATACATTTGTTCCACTTTTAATTACAACCTTTTATTTTTAATTCTAATGATAAATGTTGTTCCAAGTTACAAATAATACATAGGTGTGCACAGTTAAACACTATTACTATTATTCCCCAAGTAAAAAACCTACCTCCACTGAAAGGAAAATAATAAAAACCAAGTAACACACTTGCATAATAACATAACTGCATTGAAGATTTCACTACGGTTTTACACTCTGACAAACAAATTGGTACCTTGCTTTCATACAGAAATCATAGCTCCTCTGTAAAGTTAGCTTCAATGTTCAAAATAGACTTAAGCAACATTCTTATATCATGAACTCGTACTTTCATAAAATTAGTAATTATACACATATTGTATAAATATTATCCATCAGCCCAAAAATGTTAAGATTTCTGTATTAAAATGCATGCCTTCTATCAATAATTTCTTTCAAAAGATGACAAGATGAACAATGTTGAATAATACAATGACAGTAATTAAATCTGCACACACACATTTATACAAGAGATTCTCACATAGGCTACATAATCATAATGATGAATTGTTAGCAGTCTTATACAAATACAATTATAATATATATCTCATTCAAGAAAATAAAACAAATCTACATAAACAATGATATGCATGTGCAGCTGAGTGAAATTTTGCTTTCTTTTAGAAAACTTACACTGGTTGTAACTTAAGCTGATAATGATGCATAACAAGTAAAACAGTACTGCAACACATCAAAAATACTGTCCATCTCGAAAATTAGCCATAAAACAATGTTCCTAATTAACTGGCTGATACATTCCAAAAGCACCATACAATGGTCCGTACATACTAACATGTGAAATCATTTTGTAACTTCACAGTAGTGTGAAGAAAGTGACATGACTATACTACCTTACTATGGAAAGCTCTGGAAATTGCACCAAGTAATATATTAAATCATGATTAATATATCAGCACTACCCTAAAATAATATGGTCTAAAACATAAACTCTTTTGATATGGTACACATATTCGCACAAGCGTCCAAAATTACATTTTGTAAACATATGTTCAGCTACAATACACATTTTGCTGCATATACAACAGAAGCACAGGTAACGGAACATCTGCTCCACAGGCATCTAACACAAGGTATGGATGTGATGATTAAAAATGGGATCTCAAGGTCACAGCATGTTCATAACGACAGTTCTAATTAGCCTCTCGTCCTCACTATGAACTTTTATCATTATTTGGCTTGCGGTGTTCCATTTACCCACATAATATGGTGGCCTTGTATATTAAGATAGAAAACAGAGATTGGAAATGCTTCATTATAAAACATTTAAATTCCAACCTAATTGTGCTTACACAAAGAGCTTAATTTTGACTAAACAGTGGTCCAGACCACAGTTCTTCATTGATAAAGTAAACACATGTCAAATTGAAAGCCGGAAAAATTTACTGGTTTTGAAGTGTAATGTCAATGGAACTTCATAAATCCAAGAAATAGAATACAAGAAGACTCCATTATGATGGGCAGGTCTTGCATTACACACAAAACTTGTGTGTGGGCGAGCGTTTCAGTCAAAATATTCCCCTCACTCCCATTCACAGTTTACAATGACAAATGTTTCCTTCAAACAAATAATACATTTAATTACAATAAGATTATTACCTTTCACTATGTTCAAGTCTCAAGTTTTTCATTTCCATATCATCTTCCTCCAAAGGACTGTTTGTTCTCAACACCTGGTCAGGCTCTGTACAGTCATTTGATGTCTCTGTCAAAGGTTCATCCACAAGCAAAGGCATTGAATGGGGTAAATGAGATATAGACTGCAAAGGTACAGAAGCATCTACTGAGACATGTGGTATGCTCTCAGCAGGAAAAGAAGTCAAAGTGGCCTCCTTTCCTGGCTCTAGGCCAGCTTGTGCTTCAGGTACTTCTGGGGCATCTTCAAAACCTTTAGGAAAGCCAGTAATAATAGCTTGGGAATTACAGGTACTCTGACAGGAGTCTGGGATTTGTTCAGATGAATTATCTGTCACTATTTTCTCTTCAGCACTAGAAATACTCTCTGGTATTTCCAAATATGTGTGATGAACACATTCATCAGAGGTAACTTTCTGACTGACTGCCTGTGTTGATGAGTTTCTTAACAGTTCAGCACTGTTTTCCAAAATGCCTTCATCAGATTCAGAATTCATCTCTAACTTATGATCAATATTTTTTGAAATGCTAGATGTGCCTTCTGAAATTTCAGTAAAGGATGGCAAGGTAGTTGCAATCTCACTTTCTGAAGGGGCTAGTGAGCCTGAAAGTTGAGAGGAGCTTTCTGACACACGGACATAGGATATATGGGAACGCTGATCCGTGTCCAGGTGACTTGATGAAGAATGACTGTTATCCACAACAGCAGCTTCTGATGTATCTTCAGAGACTGAGTAAGTTGTCACTGGTGTCGAATCCAAAATTTCGGTATCCCCTGAGATATGATCATGTACAACAGATATAGTTCGCACCATTGTAGACTGAAGTTGAGGCACTGTCTGTCTCTCACAGAAATGAGCTGCACCCTCGAGCACACTTCCTGATACATGATGGTGTGATGTTGGGTCTACTGAACCTTTGGTGCTGGACAACTCATTCATATGGTTCTTTTTGTCATGAGATGTACATTCTGGGATATCACTGTAAGATGTCAGAACAGAGTGTTCTTTAGCATCTTGTGCAGCTTGTGACGTTAACAGATCTTCAATGTGACTGTTTGCTGCTTCTTGTATCATACTAGCAGATGTCTTTTCAGTGACCACATTACAGACAGTGTGTGAAGGGCTCTGGGGCTTGGCTGATGAATCTGAATCTGGTCGGATAAGTGCCAAACTGTCATCAACTTCACCCTGGGAATCAGTTTCTTCAGATAAGAGGGGCATTGATGGATTGAAATTGACTGCAGAAACTGATTTGGGTTCAGCCATGCTCAATGACAAAGTTGAATTAGAAACTGAAGATTCTGATATGCTGTTTTCTGAGAGGCCACACTGGTTATGGGGTGAGGCAGTTACAGGAATGGTTGGGAATGCCTGTGAGGTTACAGACAGAGCTGGCTGAGTGATAGTAAGGGGTAGTTCCAATGAAGAAGGAACTGGTGGAGGAGCCTGTAATGTTGGAAGAGCAGCAGAAGGTACTTCTAGAGGAGTCATGATAGGCTGATTCAGAGTTAGTGAAGTTTCCAGCACACCAGCAGGGTTTGAAGGAGGTGACAGTACCGATGACAAGGAAGGCAACAACACTGTAGCCTGATGAAGGGTAGAAGGAGATGACGTTAAAAGAGATGATGATTCAAGAAGTCGTGGTGTCATCACTGTTGACTGACTACTGTTAACCACAGTAAGAGAATCTTGGACTGCACTATCAGGCTGGAAGACTTGAGTATTAGCCAATGCTTCTGCCAAAATGTCTTGATTAGAGCCACTGGACTGTGGTGTAGCAGTGCCTGAGACATGAGGAGCAGATCCAATACCAAACATAGATGAATCTGAAGAATTCTCTACTCCAATGCTTGTTACAGGGTTTGTAGGCAATGTACTTGTTTGCCCTAGGTTTAGAACAGTTCCTGAACTTGAAGCAGAGTTGTCTATAGCCAGAATGATGTTTTCAAGATCCCCAGATGTACCTATAGATGAAGGGTCAATGTAAAGTGTCCGTGCACCTCCCTCATTAGTTTGGGAACCCCCATCATATGCGAGAAGTGTAGAATTGTCATAAGATTGCAGGGTACCAGAGTCATCAATTGTGACCAATACATAAGTGGCAGTGCCACTGTCTGCCAGCTGCTCTGCAGGTGCAGCCGCCACGACTTGTGCTATTTGCTGGGTTGACAGACCTGATGTTCCTGCTGTGGTTGACACTGAAGCTGGTTGGAGACTAGGTAGGCTTATGGTGTTGCCCTGACCGACAGGTATATTAGCTGCTGTGACACTAATCTGAGGAGTTGAAAGAACCATGCTATTTGACTCTAAGTTTTGTTGTATAGTTGGTCCAACAGTAACAGTGGGCTGCAATGGCTGCAGACTTGGCAAGGTATGTACAGCTGACATTTCTACACTGGACTGCAAATTTGTTGTAGAGACTACAATGGGAATTCGTTTTGATGTAATATTTACATTAGATGTGTTTTGAGGTACTGACTTCTTTATGGACTGTGATGAAGTAATTACTTTCTGAACAGACTGTGGTGCTGACATTTTCTGAACAGCCTGATTTGGGGTGGTAGTCTGGTTTAGTTTTTGTAAGGATGGAGTTCTAGGGAAAATGCCACTTACTTTCTTCAACTGTGATACATTGGTTAGCACACCAACACTACCAGATTTGGCAGGTAATGGATTTTGCACCTTTTGCACAACCATGCCCGATGCAACTGCTGGTCTACTTTCAAGCATCTTTGGTTGAATCTGTGAAGTCAGAACTATTTTACCTCCTCCAGTAGTTGGTACAGAAATTCTATGCACAGAAGACGAAACACCAGGATTTGTCAGAATTTTGGGTTTTGGGGCTGAAAGTTTTGTTACAGACCGAGATGTACCAATTTTAGCCTGCAATTGTCCAGAAGTAGATGCCACAGTTTTACCAAGGACTGTTCCTGAAACAGTGGTTCCTTGTGTTGTATGAATAAGTATTGTATTAGACTGAGGTTTCAGGGTACCAATGACCCTAACTGGAGAAGCCTGTGTCACAGAAGCTTTCTGCATTGTTGGTAAAACTACCTTTGCCTGTGTGCTCTGCATTGTAAATTTTGCACCAAGACTTTGTTTCCCTCCTTGCAGAGTCCTCATCTGCTGCTGGCTAATTGGGGTTAATTTTGTGCCTTTGGCCATGACACTTCTTGGGTTCAGGTTTGCTCCAGTACTAGTAGGCACTATGCGCTGAGGCTGGACCTGCAATTTTCCACCTGCAGTTATAATTTTCTGCTGCTGAGGAGAAAGTGCAGTTGTCAAAATCTTTTGCTGGCCACTGCCTTGAGGTTTGGCTAAAATCACAACTTTGCTTCCTCCAACTGCATGTTGCATTATGTGTTGCTGTGTAACTCTCTGCTGTGTTGTTTTGCCAACAGTGTACCTCGACTGCTGACCTGGAGAAGTCTGCACAATAACAAATTTTCCTCCTCCACTTTTCTGAGATACTACTGTAGTCCCTCCAGTACCTTTAAGTTTGCTGATAGCAGATACAGCAGCACTAGAAACAGCTACAGCAACAGTACTTGAAGCAGGAACTGCTGCAGCTTGCAGTTTAATAGTCCTCATGGGGCTGCCTTGTGATGCTTTCATAATGACACTGCCACTGCTGCTTGGAACCTGTGGACTACTCTTTGACATGACAACAGGAGTATCAGAAGATGGCACAACAGTAGTAATATCTGTTACAGTTGGACCACCTTCATTTATGCCTACTGTATGCAACTCTGTTGAACTCGGAATCAAATCAATCAGTGACACAGGAACACTTCCAACTTTATTGGCCTCTGGTGCTTCTCTGATTATGGCGTCAGTCATTACCACAGGCATGGAATTGATGTCTAACTCCATCTCTTCATCTTCCAAAGAGGTCTGAGCACTTCCAGCTACACCATGAGGTTCAGTAACTTCTGCTTTTGGAGACTCTGTTCTGATTTCTTTTGGTTTCTCCTGCACCTCCTCCATCTCTTTCTTGATACTGTAGTCATGGTCACCACCACCATTTTCAACATTTGTTAATTTTGGCCCAGTGGGTGCAGAACTGTTTGTATCAAGAGCAGTGTGACTGTTGTTGCTGTCAAGGACAACATCTGGGAGAGAGGCAGAGCTGCCAACTTCAAGCGCAGGACAGGTAACATTAGTATTTGGTAGCTCAGGTACTTCAGGAAGGGCAGGTACGGTTGTTTCTGCTAACAGGGTCTTAAATGCAGCATCTATATCCTCAGCATCAGCAGAAAGTTTCTCTACTTCTGTCTTCAATGTTTCGGGAGCTTGCACTGCAGAAGTTTCTGTCATTGCTTCTACTTTTGGAGCAGATGTGAGAGTTCCTATATCATCTACTATATTCCGGCGTTTTGATGCTGGTTCACTTCTATCATCTATTATTCTAGGTATTTTTCTATTCTCAACAAATTTCTTGGCCCTCTCCTCCAATTCACTGCCTAAATTAGCATCTTCTGTGTCATCAAAATCAAAGCATGAGGTTTCCTTGGGCTTCACATGTTCTTCTGAACAAGTAGTCTTTGTATTTGCAACTCTCTCGCTCTCACTTGCTGCAGCTACATCAGCTGAATGCATGTTGGCCAACTCACTTTTACTTAGTTCCTGTTTCATTAATTCTATCTCTTTTTCTTCTTGTTCTTCATCTTCATCTTCCCAATCAGCAAGTAATTTTTCTCGAATCTCCTCATCATTTCTCTTCTTCTTTGCAGGCCTCTCACCTCCCCATCTGGTACCTTTCCTTTTACCAAAGATAGGGGTCTTGGGTGATTTCCGTTCTGAAGTTTTCAGCTGTTTCTCTGGACTTCTTGGCAGCTGCTGCTTGGAATTAGCATCTGATTCCTCTTTCGTTGTTTTCATGTCACTCTCTTCAATAAGCTTCCTTTTAGGAGCACTTTTATCTGCAATACCTTCAGCTCTGGGAGTATCACAGGATACTGGGGCAGCTCTACTGCGAGCTCTTGATCTGTCACTAGGACTACTTACAGAAGACCTTCCTTTGCCTCTTCCTGTAATTTTACTATCTGCAGATTTGCTCTTGCTAGCTGATATTCCCTTAACTCCAACACCTTGACCATTATTGGCTGCATCTGCACTGTGGAATTTATTGTGCAGAACAATAACATTCAATCTGTTGGAAGTAAAGTCACAGATGTGGCACTTGTACTGAGGGCAAGGATTACTAGACTGGTCATCTCGACTAGGTGTGCTTACTGGCTGATGTCTAATACGTACAACATGATCAGTATCATCTTTCACTTCACTTACAAAACGTGGGTGTGTAATCTGTCTCGGCTGTTGAAGTACTGGCAGTGAAGGAGATCCAGGCTGGCTTTGTCGGCCATTAGCTGATGGTGACAGCTGTGTTAGTTTCCAGCTAACTCGGTCTTTACCCTGGGAACCAACAAGTTTGCTTTTCTTGTCAGGTGAGCCAGACTTTTTGTCACCCCCAAATATGTTACGATAATCTGGTCTTTCTTCTGGTGCAAAAGCATTATCTCTTAAAATGTCTGGGTTACCTCCTGTAAGCCTTTCAGCAATGGCTACATCTTCAGGAAACTTATTCATAACAGTTGAACCTTCTCGGCATCTGGACCGATATATATCTGGAAACCAGAATTTGTACATTATTAAAAAGAGCCATATCACGAACACAAGGAACAGTTACAAATGAAGTACTGAATTAAAACTGATTTTGCAGCATAAGGAAATTAAAGAAGGTGATGGCCTCCAATGGCATGCTATTAACGCCAAGTTTCATGAAAGTCAGTAAAGCAGTGTCCATTGTATGACATCAGGAACTGAATCAAAGGCCTGCAACATATTTACACACTGAAAATGAAAAAACTTTGGATCATGAGTCTTTAAATTGTTCGTGTTTCCCCTCTCCTTAATTACCTCAAGTAACTGAAAATACAGTTTCTTCCACTAACACATTACTGGTGAGGGCTCAGACAGGGAAGCTGATAACTCACACCAAATTTGACTAGTCTTGAGACACAGGTGCTTATAACATGAAACTAACGCCACACTCTTACTTGACCATGTTCATGGAAGTTCCTTAGAAGTTCTATTCTGTATCAATGTCTGACAAGATTTTCTATGCTTGAGGAGCAGTCTCTCTTATGGTGACTAAGGTCACATAGTCATATTATGATTTTGTACAAATTAAATTTCAACTGACTGGAGCACTTTAAAGCAAATCTAAGTCACACTCCAATGATTATGGATAACTACTCCATTAACAGTGGTAAAGTCACAAAGGAGCAGGATACGGTTTCACACTAAAATTTTTCTTACATTATTCATTCGTTTGTTTTTTGATCAATTTAATTAATACTACTTTACAGGTATGTGATTTAATCAGTGAGTTTTAGGAATTAACTGAATTTTTATTTTAACATCCCATAAATTGAATTCCTAATATTCACCTCCAAACAGCTAACACCTACAGTTCTGGTCCTAATATCCTGATAGTAAAACTGCTATCAAGACAAAAGAACAAACAGTTACAATAATAATCGCTACATCAAAATCACTGGAAGGATATTTCTAAGAGAATAAACAAAAAATGCTTAATTTTTTTACAAAGAAACCAGTTGCATAGCTAAGTCAGCAACACACAGATGGTTGTGGCAGGGTAACAGTACAATGAATAGAGATTTGAAGAACAGGGCGGATGGTCGTGTGGGTGGTACGTGTAGTCCGTCACGTGACTTTGTAATAGTAAAGGAACATATCAATTAAAGGATGTTTCAGATAAAGATAATTTTAAGCAAAAGGATATGTGATAAAATAGTAAATGAACTAAAGAAGGATATCACTGAACTAAATCATCTTTTGAAACATGCCGTAAGGCAGACAGTAAAAGAGGTTATCTCAAATGAAATTAACATTATTCTAGCAAAGACAGAAACTATATATGGAAATGTGAGTGAACAAGTGTTAAGTGCACCATGAATGGACTGAAATAATGAACAGAAGACGCAAGAGGAATAATAGTAATAGCGATAGATGTGATAATATTGTGACATGTTGCGCAACGGAGGACACCCACCTCCCCAGCGCTATGTGGCGGTAATGTAGTGCTCGCGTTACTATGGTAATAGGCGAGTCCCCACCCCGCCACTCTTCCCACGGTGATGTAACGCGCAAGGCGCGGTGACGCGGCACCGCTTCCTACTGTGACGTGGCACGTAACAGGCACACACAGCCCCTATATAGGACAGCTGCGCTGCCTGCGGAGTTGAGTTGTATTGTGACAGCCGCCGAGTTAAGTAGTAGTCGAGCGAGTGTGTTATCAACAGTTCTCAAGGCAGCTACCTACGAGTAGTTACTATAGGATTCTGACGATGGTGTATAACACACTGATATGTTGGGTTTTTGGACTTTATCCATCGTAATGGTTTTTAAGATAACAAATAAAAACACGACGTTTCGGAAACTGGATCTGTTTCCGTCCTCAGGTGAAGGAAAAAACACCTATTCAGTTGGGTCCCTTAGAAAGAGCTAGTCTCAATCACTGGACGAGTTAGTTCCGAGAGAGTTCCTAGTTAGCCAGCAACCAGTCAGTTGCATTCTGGCAGTTAGAGTGTAGTATTTGTGATACTGCAGATAGCAGTAATTGTGAATCTGTAATTTGGGTGATTGTAAGTGCGAATGTGAAATAAAATTCGCTATACCGAATACGGCATGAAGTTATTTGTCACGTTACACGCCCAATACATGACAACTGGTGTCAGACGGTGGCCTGTTCAGTGGACATGAAACCTGCGGTGGCACAACAAGAAGAGGTCCCCACTGCAATACCGGTCGGAGTGAAGATGGCCTGCCGAGAAACGGAGGCACGTCCAGAAGATGAAAAGCCGGCTTCAGTGCACAGGAAACCTGAGGCGGCAGAACTACTAGAGGTACCCGTACAAGACGCCGAAGTAATGCCGTTCGGAGAACCGAAGAAGAAAAGGCGCAGGGACCGACATCGACGAAATATAAAGAATTCGACACGGGAAAACTGTGGACCCCGGATGAAGTTGGCTGCCCCCTGCAGGAAGACATCCCGTCGTGCGACAGTGGCACGATGGAGAATTGCCTTCAAGAATGAAATTCCCCTGGGAACCTTCGGATGCCAGCGGAAAGAAGTGACCGCCACCGGAATAAAGATTACACGCTGTGTAGGACACAGGCGTATGGGACAAATCAAGAATAAGGTCGCACCGGAAATCACCAAGAAATGGACGTTCAGGAAGAGAGTGTGCAAAGGCCCAGAACGCAACACTGGCATTAGGAACCGAGGCCTGAGACAGCAACTACAACGCAGAAATGAAGTGAAGGACCTAGGCGGCGGACAGCCGCGATATGTGAAGGAAGCAGACCTGAGAAAAACTGCAAGACTGCAGATCACCAAGCGAGTAGCCAGATTTTCTGTCTGCCTACAACACGGCAAGGATTGGACCTTATGGAGGGGTAGACCTCCTCCAAAACGAAAAAAGACGCAGGGCACAGAAGAGGAGCCGATAAAATAGTAGAACCGGCCTCCCCAGAGAGAGTGAATGTGCCATAGAATGAAAGTGATGGATGAATGTGATCTTCTGTGATCTTCTGGCGAGCTGAAAGGAAACCGCTTGAGACGAGCTTTGTCTTAAGAGGGGAGTGGATGTAACGGACGAAGAATAGTCGCTGCAAGAAGAGTAGCCGAAACAACAGGAGACACTGCAAGCACAGCTACGGGACGGAAAAGGAACGGGGGTGCACCATTGGGCTATTCGGGACGAACAGCCTTAAGGAGGGAGCAGTGTGACATGTTGCGCAATGGAGGACACCCACCTCCCCAGCGGTACGTGGCGGTAACGTAGCGCTCGCATTACTATGGTAATAGGCGAGTCCCCGCCCCGCCACTCTTCTCACGGTGATGTAACGCGCAACGCACGGTGACGCGGCACCGTTTCCTACTGTGACATGGCACGTAACAGGCACACACAGCCCCTATATAGGACAGCTGCGCTGCCTGCGGAGTTGAGTTGTAATGTGACAGCCGCCGAATTAAGTAGTAGTTGAGCGAGTGTGTTATCAACAGTTCTCAAGGCAGCTACTTACGAGTTAGTTCCAAGAGTTCCTAGTTAGCCAACAACCAGTCAGTTGCATTCTGGCAGTTAAGAGTGTAGTATTTGTGATACTGGAGATAGCAGTAATTGTGAATCTGTAATTTGGGTGATTGTAAGTGTGAATGTGAAATAAAATTCGCTATACCAAATACGGCGTGAAGTTATTTGTCGCGTTACACGCCCAATACGTGACAATATATACAGAATACCAGTTGTAAAAAACTGCTATAAACTATCCTGTGATGACAAAACCAATGAAAATTGGGCCTCCAACGCAGTTGAGAATCAAAAAATAATGAAACCCTATAAGAAGCAAGCACAATTAAGAAAAAAGAGACATAGGATCATAATTACTGGGGATAGTCACGTAACAAATTGTGCATCTAAAATATCATATAACCTAGATAATGGCTTTGAAGTGCAAGGTATTACAAAACCAAATGCAGATTTAATAGCAATCACAAATACAATAAAAGAGGATGTTAAACTCCTGACAAAGAATGATAATGTGGTTATATGGGGCGGTATAAGAGATGTAGGTAAACATGCAACCTCAGATGGCTTGAATCAACTGAAAGATTTTTATAGCAAACAAACTGTCAAACGAATTTTATTCAGATAAGTGTGCTACACAGATATGATCTACCTGTAGATTCCTGTGTAAACAAAGAAGTAGAGACTTTCAATAGAAAATCGAGTAAATTAGTAAAAGCTTTTGAACATACACCTCTTATAAAGGTAAACATAGAAAGAGAATTACATACAAAACATGGATTACATCTAAATGATAGGGGGAAGGAATTAGTGGCCAGGAAGATAATCCCTATTATAAAGCACATGTTATATAAAAAACTAAGGAACCAATTAGCATGACATGGAAGCAAGATAAGGGAAAACTTCACAGCAAGAACACAACAATATAGGGATGGAAAAGTGAGAAGCAGTGACCTATAAGCAAGATAAGATAAATATAACACAAGAAAAAGCCAATAATCAGAGTATAGGAAGAGAGGATGCAGACATCGGCGGCGATACTGTGCTCCAGAATAGCAATGGTCGTGAACATAATGAACTAAAGTTGGATGTTATAAATACAATTCAATACGAAGAGTTTGTAAACCTCCTACTACAAGAAAGGATGATTTTTTATGGATGGACAGAAGACAAAAAAGAAACTCCAATAATAAAGAAAGAAGAAACCTTAGGACAGGTAATAACTCAACAATAGATATTAATCCATTGAGAATATTTCATCAAAACATATGTGGAATACAAAAAAAGTAGATGAGTTAATCAGCTCGGTATTTCCTGACTTATCACATATTATATGCCTTACAGAACATCATCTTAAACAGCTTGAAACAGCTCAAATTAGCATGGACGGTTACAGACTTGCTACCTCATACTGTAGGTCAAGAGAAAAAGGTGGGGTTTGCATATTCATACATAAAAATCTTAAATTCTCGATGATAGATTAGGGTAGATATTGTAAGGAGCAGGATTTA